TAAGAAATAAATTATTCAAAGAAAGGTTTAGATATTTAGTTATGTAATCAAACTCTTTCGCTAATTAATAAAAACATCATATTAAAGGATTTTGAAAAATTATACAACACGATTCCTCTTAGGAGATCGGAATATTACCGTGTAATGTTTTTGAATGCATGTGTCTTTATGAATATGTATATATTTTCATATTTATATATTTCACCTCTGCCTCTACACCCTTTACACATTCCTATAATTGAGCTTTTTACGATAAGACCGTCTTTGCCCACTTTAACCATAAAATACTTCGTACATTGTTATTATATGTGCTTTATAAAGTATATCTAACAAACACTAAACAGACTGTAATCCGTCAGGTTATTAAAAATTACCAATGAATTTTAATTCACTAGTTAAATTCAATGTTTATTTTAAGAATATGACCTTTTCTGGTAACTTAATATGCTGAAATGTTTACATACCTACATTATACAAGAGAATTTGAGAATTTCAATACGGTTGAGTACCTCTTTTGCCAAACTTACCTAACATAATCATTTTCTTGTAATTGTATTAAATGTAAATCTTTAAATGAGGCCTGTTGTAATCCTCTGTTTTATTAGTTTTCATAGTGTACCTATGACTGTTACTTGCTGTTAATGAATCTACAACCGACATTAACGTGTTCCCTGTTGATATTCCCTGAAAAAGCGGGCCACAGTTGTCGGAACAAAAGCTTCAAATTATTCATCACCTTATTCTTAGACAGATAATACCGAAAACGTCTTAACTTAGTGAAACATTACCACAATGAGATTCATATATTCAGAAATTTAATAACAGTTTAACCCAGTACTGAACAAATAACTTATAATTTCACGCCTGCAGTCTCAAGGGGAACAAGTTTAAAACCTTAACTAAACAAAGCCTAACTAAAGCAGCCGCGTCAAGTGTGCCCGGTAGGTCGGTAAAAATTTAATACAAGTTTGCTGGTTAATTTTAATTAAATTTTTTACCAAGAGTAATAAACCTTGGTAGGTTAAGGATATTGTTGGGTTGCTGTGAAGTAATTTGCTTCAATAAACTACATAGATGATAATTTTAATGGATTAAGAGGATACAGTAGAATATATATGTATATAAATATATATATATATATACAGTAGAATGTTTAGGACTTTGCAAGAAACCCAAAACCTTCTCAGTTTTTTGAGAGTTATTAAACTACATTTGTTACTTATAAATTTACTTTATATTAATGTTATAATGAGAGTATGAATATTAGAAGGAAGATAACCTGTGGAACCAGGAAACCTATTTTTTTTTAATATTTATTTCAAAAACCACGTTGATATATGTCACAATCGATATATGTTACTATATTTTATTTACTTTTAATTTTTCTCAGTTATTACACTATCTATCAGGTTACAGAAGTTTTTACAAAACAAAAGCCAGTAATAATATTGTTGGTGTAAAACCATAGTTCTTATCGCTTTCATTACACCAAGTATTCCAATATATCTATCGCTTCAATTTACTACGACAAAAATTTTATATTACCTTACCTTGACCATCGTCATGAATAAATCATAAATATTAATTGTAATGAATAAGAAACATGTCTTATTATCCTTATCATGATTCCAAATTATGAATTACGTCTTCGAGTTCATATATGAATATGTGTTTCTTCATTCCTGTAGTATAAAATTCTTCAAATGAGGCTAATAAATGCATAGCTTCGCTATCTTGATACTTGTTGGTTTTTTCATCACACGAACGGTACACAGTTATTTTTCTCAGATTTAATATTTTATTAATGAAACTTGCATTACGTTTCATTAAAATTTCATTTTAAAGCCTTAGGTTATTAGTCTTAATTTAAATTCTTTATAAGTTAAATTAAATGTTTATTTCTCAATGATGATCAAATGAAAATATATATGTAAATAATATAAATATAAATGAAAACACTTTTAAACGGTAAAACGGAACCTGTAAAGAGTCCGAAACGTCATAAAACTAAATATGAAGCCGTTGAAAAGTTGTTTATTAAAAAAAATATTTAAATTATCACTAAAAATAATATTCCCAAAATAAAATATCAAAAATAATACACAAATCCTCTGCCCGCCTTATTTTTTTTTTTATATGTTTAACGCTTTAGATTAGTATAATTTGTCACTTCTTTATGCACGATAGCGCTACGACAAAGCGAAGGATTAACACATAAAACAAATAGAAAAGTAACATATTTTCAGAGAATTCCATTTTTATAATCGATTTATCTTACGTGGCCAGTCCGAGAAATTTCCACATCCTCGCATCAATCGTGAATTGACTGCAGAGAGCTGTAGCTGAAAAAAAATATATAACGGCCATTGACTACTTTTATCTGTACGTGACACTCCAAATAATAGAAACAATCTCCGAACCGAAATCATTTCAAACACAATCATAGTTACGCACCTACATAGCAATAATAAAGAATTTTCAAAAGCGAATAACGATTCATATTTTGTTCCAATCGTCATTCGGTAATTCCCATTGTTCGGCCATCGAATCCAATGAAAAACCGAATCAATCAATTCAAAAGTCAACGAGCCCTTTTCTAAATCCATCTCAATGGCCAAGTTTAGCTTATTATCCGCCTCTCCTCCTTTTATTGTCATGCAAATAATGTCAAGTGTTCGTTTACATACAGCCATCTTTCAAATTTTGACATCTAATTATTTTTCTACAACGTTTTGTGTACCTACTTTGTCATATTTTCTTTTATTGTTAACATAAATTTCTTTTTGAATTCCATTTCATTCTTTTGAAAGAAATAAAGAATTGAGATCTGTGTTATTGTTTAATTTCTAAATTTATGCGTTTTAATGATTTTTATTTGAGATAACATACAAGATCTATAGTAAGGGGAATTTCATCAATAATATTTGATGTTCAATCTTTACTTTTAATTTATAAAAAAAACCTTATTGGAATTACAAATCTTATATTCAACTGTTTTATTAATAATCGAGCTAAGAGCAACCCTGAATAATGCACTTAAAATGTATTAAAAAATCTTCTGCAAAAAATATTGTTTTATATTAATAATAACTTTAACTTCTGAAAGAAAATGATAGTAGCTTACTGTAATATAGTTTCATATCCACACGGACGTTTAAAATTTTATGTAATTTAATTACCACTCATGATTGTTTATTCAAAATGTTAAAAGTAAATTAATTACCTTGGATTTTTTAATAATAAAAATATATACCTCACTACAAACAACACTACTACAAAAAGGATGTATATTTTTATTAACAATTAGCTATGCCCGTGACTTTGTCCGAGTGTAATTTAAAAAAAAAGTTATTGTTCAATTCGACGATAACTTATTAATTCCCTCTAGCGGATACCAGGCATATTTTTATTAAATTCGTATATACAAGGTATAATCCTTTTGTTGTTGTACATGTTTGTCCAATTGTATCCTTTTTAATTCTGCATTTTTAATTTAATTGTTATTAATTGAAAATCTTCATTATAAACAATATTTGATGTACTATTTTCTTGTGTTAAAACAATAACACTACTGGTATTCTTCGAACGTGAACATGCCACGTATAGTTAAATCGAAAAGTTAAACAAACATAATTACACATCCCTGTATCTTGCGCTCGATAAATAATTCTCCATTATGTTATATTACAAAATTAAAACCGCAAAATTGAAAAAACGAAAGTGAAAAGTGAAAGTTGTTTGATAAAAAAACATTACAAAAAAAATAAAAATCATCGTGGAACAGAAACCACAGTTTAGAATTGAATCAATAAAAATGGTCTTGTAATCGGACCGTTGCGTTGCACAACTGAAAGTTTACTGTATAAACTGTTCGTATGAAACCTTAGTGTAGCTAGATCGCTAGCTAGTACCACTAGTTTGATTTTCAATCATACTCTTTTATAAAACTCGAAAACAAACGTCTCGTCTAACGATCCGTAAATACATCGCACTCACGTTTCGCGTCCAATGGAGCGTTGCATGTCGCTAGGTTACGCAGTACGGTAGAATGCCTAATAGAATAGTGCACTGACCTTCACACCACAGTCTTAAATTAAATTTTTATCTGACTACATACCTATATATAAACGAATCCTTAAAATTCATTTTCACTTCAACATATTATAAAGAACAAAAGCCCCGTTGAAGAGGGAATATATAGAATTTCACGCGACTAAGTCACTGACAGCAGTACAATAAAATTGACCATCAAAGTAAATTTACAATAAAGCTCCAATAACAATATAAAACAATTACGATTTATTTAATTATTCGAATGGAAATGGATAATCCTATTACAATGATTGTTTGGAGTTACAAGATTCAATTGTATTACAATTGTATTGGCACATTAAAAGGAAATCTTGATTTTTATTAATGATTAATGGTCAGAATTATAACAATTAAAATTAATAATTATTCTAAAACGTTCTAGAAAAAGTGCTATAGATTATTTCTAGTATTTCACGCCAAAAGTTTTGTCGTTGTATTTACAAAATGATATTCAATATATTGTGTTGTACCTGATTTCAGTTTAGCCTGAAAAAACATAGAAGAAAATAATAATTAATATATTCTTTGTAGTGTGGGCTTGGTTTATTACTTATTTTTATTTCGCTTACACTTTTTGATCCACACATCTTCAGCAAACCTCTGTTAACCTGCGTAGATTTTTACCCTGTGGACTTTCATTTGCCGGTAATTTTAAGGGATCTTTACCTTTAATCACTTTTTCTTTTACTATGAGTAGCTTCATCATTCTTTTGGGAACACATCAAAGTTTTAGGTGACATAAATTTAGTAACTAAAACACTTTTGTAACTGATTATAAATTAGTGCATAAGGATTTTGTGTTTTCAAAGTCTTTTACTCATAATAACAAAACCTATATCCTTATTTGACTAATTTCAAAGATAATAAAACAGAAAAAGAGATATTTATGGCATGCATTTTGTCCACAGGTTTCTTAAACCCTCGATCAGATGAATTCCCTCGCTCTCCAGCGAATTATGGATTGATGGACCAGATAGCTGCTCTCCATTGGATAAAAGAGAATGTGGCTGTATTTGGAGGCGATCCAACAAATGTAACACTGATGGGGCATGGTACAGGTGCTGCGTGCGTTCACTTTTTGCTTACATCATTGGCTGTACCTGAAGGTTAGTCTTAAAAAAGCTATTTCATACTACCATCTTTGCAACTTTATAATTTATAGTGTAACTCGGTGGCTAAGCGCTGCGGCCCGCTAGCGTTCTTGTCAAGCAACTTTCGCAATTATTATCTCGAGCTATTCCGTGCTTCAGAAGACACGTAAAGCCATTGGTCCCGGCTGCGTTTGTAGACGTTAATACCCTTCGATCCTCATTGGGCCAGCGTAGTGAGTCATGACACATTCTCCTTAACCATATATAAATAGGCCTGAGCCCCTGCAGTGGGAACGAAAAGGGCTGATGATGATAATTTCCCGTATATTTTCTTTAGAAGATTCTGAATAATTAAATTAGCAGATTAATTTAATAATCTTTATTATTATTAAAAATTAAATCAGAAAATACTTTCTTTGGGGCTAATTACTTTGCTTTATAATTCAACTTAAACAACTTCAAAGTTTGTTGGAGAAACCGATGGAAGAATTATGGGTTCACCGGCAATTAGAATATCAAGAGCTTCAGCGTACATTACCGTTTTTTAATTGAGTTAGTTTATTATTAACTTCATAAACTTACTAATTTGTATAAACGCTCCTTAATTTTGTATTAATAAGCCAAATTAGAGTAATCGTTTATTTACTAATATCAATATAATTATTCATTCAATTAGTTTCTGCGGCTCTCAAAAAATCAGATAAAATTATAACCTTTCCTGATAAAAGTATTAAAAAGAACGAACTGCAATACATACAGCTGTTTCACTATCGTATTCTGGAAAATTAATTACAGAAGCCTAAAGTAATTTACATAACGCTCGTAAATAGAAATTTAGCTAACTGCTGAATAATAAGCGCGTAGTAGAAAAGCGGTAATTTTAATACACCTAAATATTCATGACACGGCTAATCTCCACACGTAGGCACACTAAAATCTACGAGAGCAAACAGTCCTCTTTACACTGTAGTAGCTTTTAAACAATTTGTTATACGTGCAGGAACACAACATGGTACGGAGATAAACGGTGTAACAACTTAACTGTCGTCATTTTTAACCCCAGTTGTGTTACCTACTTTTTATTAGTTCTTGCTATTTTTCGGTATCATTAAAAGTTAAAATTTAAAGAAGATAACTCCTAAGTCAAATGAGGAATGTGTGTGATTTTCATTTTTTTTACTAACAAATGAAAATCACACACTCTCAAAATCAAAATGAGTGAACCTAATTAAGAAATTCGAGACATTTTAAAATTTTATTACAAAAAATGCAACACAAGCCTCGAAAAAAAATTGTGATGTTTATGAAGCTAGTGCAGTTTCTATGATAGTAGCACAATTTTAGTTTAAGCGTTTTCAGTCTGAAAATTTTAATGTCAAAGATGCACGTCGCTCCGGTCGCCTAGTTACGGATAAAATGGATGCCGTTTTTAAAAAAATGGAGCAAGGTCAGCACATCGGTTTTTAAGATAAAGCTAAAGGACTCGGGATTGAACATAAAGCAGTTTTGGCGCATTTGAAAAAAGCTAAGTACACAAAAAAAAATTCGGATACCTCACGAGGTTACTGGAAAAACTTTATGAACCGTGCACTTACTTGTGATACTTTATTACGACGTATTGAAACCAAACCATTTTTGAGGAAGCTGATAAATGGTGATGAAAAGTGAGTCACTTGCGACAAAAATGTGTTAAGCAGGTCGTGATCAAATATCGGTCAGTCTTCACAGACTGTGGTGAAACCCGGGTTGATTCGAAACAAGGTGATGCTGTGTGTATGGTAGAATTACGAGAGCATGATTCATTATGAGCTATTACCGCTAGGCAGGACCATCGATTAAGAACTTTATTATGACCAACTGATGAGATAAAAGCAAGAAGTTGAAGAAAAGTGGCCAGAATTAATCAATAAAAGAGGTGTTAAAACCACACATTTTCACATCATGATAACGCTAGACGTCACACATCTTTATCACTTAGCAACAATTAAGAGAGTTTGGCTGTAAGATGTTAATGCATCCGCCGTATAGCCCTAACTTTGGCCTTTAAATTTCCAGTCTGTTTCAGTCTCTTCAGACTTAACTAACCTGACACTGCCTAAAGAATTTAGGCAGTGTCATTTTGGGTTAAGATCACGCGAGGACTGCCAACACCACCTGTCAAATTTGATCAGAAGCCCAAAATATTTCTATAATAATGGGATCATGTCTCTACCTTCAAGATGGCAAAATAAAATTTATTAAAAATGTTTTGAATTTTCATATAAAATGCGATTAAACTTTCTCCCCGATCTATTAGTTAAAGAAGATAAATTAACGTATAGGTAAATGGTCTAAAAAATATATTAAATGTTGCTAGCGAATAATATTATCTTAATTGCATTTTCAAGTCTTCATTTTATATATATATATATTAACTAGCTTTCGCTTGGTTGCCCCGGGCTGCGAGCAGCCCGGGGAGGTCACGAGTAGCTGGTGGAATCGGAGCGGTGGGGTTTCAAGTCCGCCTATTGTTATGTCGGGTTTACAGTTTGAAATTGCGTAGAAAAGGTCAGTAAGTTCTATCTTCAAATAAAAGGTGTCAAAGGACACAAAGCACCATTTATCAAAGAAAAAGTGTTGCCAGTTGACACTTAATAGAAAAAGAAATATTCAGTCGAAAAACGCAAGCAAAACCTTAAATAAATTTTGTATAGATACTTAAAATAAGTTTTGTCTTTTATTCTCTTATTCTTATTTATTAGTAAATTACTGTATAATATTAAAAAACAATCGAACATATATTTCCATCAGTGTTACTATCATTAATTAATCAATTAAATGTCAATTGCATTATTACATTACATTATTATTTATTATATGAAAAGGGAACCGATGTCGTGGCCAGATATTAGAATAGATTAATTCACGACGCGATGGGGTTTTAAGTCCGCCTTCGTTTCAGAATAGAAGCTTTCGCTTGGTTGCCCCGGGCTGCGAGCAGCCCGGGGAGGTCACAAGTAGCTAGTGGAATCGGGGCGGTGGGGTTTTAAGTCCGCCTCCGTTGCAGAATTTGAGTTTTTCGATTTTTTTTGTTGTTTGTTTTATAGTTTGAAATCGCCTTCAAAAAGTTAGTAAGTTCTGTCATCAAATGAAAGGTGTTTAAGCACCATACATCAAAGAAAAAGGATTGCCAGTTTACGCTTAACAGAAAAAGAAATATTCAGTCGAAAGACGCAAGCAAAACTCTAAATAAATTATAGTCTCTTATTCTTATAAAATATATTTTAATTATTAAATATAGTGTCAAAAATTGGATTTCTTTTCTCCATACTTACCTATGTGAAAGTGTGAGTAAAGATACCTACACAAATGGTCCATATATACACGCTATAAAGATCCCGAATTTTCAAGTCCATCGAAATCAAAATTGAAATTAAAATGGTCACGATCATCTTTTAAACATTATAAACCAAATGTTACCATCAACAAAAGCGATTCGTTTCTGGCACTTCGCCGGCCGCTGCCGCGGCACGCTCGCTACGCTCGCTCGGCTCGTGCGTTGTTTTTCGTACACTAACCTAACCTAACCCATATGTCATAATAAACCTATACAAGTTTTTGTTGCTTTACTTATTGTAAAGTTCTTGAGCATAAACGAGTCGCTTGTGGGATCGGAGCGGTGGGGTTTTAAGTCCGCCTCTTGTTATGTTTACAGTTTGAAATTGCCTAGAAAAAGTTAGTAAGTTCTATCTTCAAATAAAAGATCTTTAATTACGCAAAACATCATACATAAAAAAAAGATTGCCAGTTTACACGCAATATAAAATGAAATATTCAGTTAAAAAAACGGAAGAAAAGTTAAAATAAATGTTGTATACATCGCCTTAAAGTATAAAGTATTCTTATTCAATAGAAAATTTCCTAAAAATCACAGTATCAAAAAAAAATAGTTTTTTATCATCCTTCAACTGAATAATTTTTTTTTTCTGTAAGTAATCTATAAAATTTTATCAATAACGCCAAAATAATACATTTTCTAGATAAAATGGAAGCTGTCTTAGCCGCCATCTTGAATTTTAAAATTTCAGATTCAGACCTAAATAGCATACTTATAAGTGAATTTGGTCACAGTTCCTAAACCGATTGACCAGGTCTCCATTTATTATGGCTCGCTTCGCTCGCTTTTACTTTTTGTTTTTTCGCAGTTCTAATCTAACCAATTGACCAGGTCTCTATTGATAGTGTTCTTTATGGCTCGCTTCGCTCGCATTTAAGTCATAGTTCTAACCCTACCAATTAACCAAATATCTCTTAACAGTTACTCCTTATGGCTCGCTTCGCTCGCTTTTTGTTTTATTGACAGTTCTAATCTAACTGATTGATCAGGCGTCTATTGATGGTGTTCTTTAAGGCTCGCTCCGCTCGCATTTTATTTTAGTTACAGTTCTAACCTTACCAATTAACCAAATCTCTCTTAATGGTTACTCTTTATGGCTCGCTTCGCTCGCATTTTGTTTTAGTCACAGTGCTAACATAACCGATTGATCAGGTCTATTTTAATGATCTCGCATTTTGGCTCGCTTTGCTCGCTCTTTATTTTGGTCACAGTCCCTTAAACGATTGACCAGGTCTCCATTTATTATGGCTCGCCTCGCTCGCCTTTTGTTTTATTCACAGTTCTAATCTAACTGATTGATCAGATTTCTATTGATGGTGTTCTTTAGGGCTCGCTTCGCTCGCATTTTATTTTAGTCACAGTTCTAACCTTACCAATTAATCAAATCTCTCTAAATGGTCACCCTTTATGGCTCGCTTCGCTCGCTTTTTGTTTTAGTCACAGTTCTAATCTAACCGAATGACAATGTCTCGCTCGCTTTATTTTTCTGGCTAAAATATTGGAATTTTTTTCTCACCACGTAAAGATTGGGTAAAGATACACAAACGGTCTATATATGCTATAAAGTTCCCGAGTCGCCAACTCGGTCAGAATCATTCTGAAATTTATATGGTTATACTATCAGTGTTGCTAGTCGATC